CAAATCCTCTCGAAAGTTTTCTGTACATCCAATACCATTTTCTCAGATCTCGTCCGATCGATTGAAGCTGAACTTCTGATCCATTTCGCTCATTCAAGGTACATCAATCTGTCATGGTGTTAAGAGTTCGAGTATAAATTGTTATGATGATGTTTATTGATCAGTTGAATGGAGCTCAGGATCTCGAGAATTAATATATTTTACTGTACTTTCGTCTGTAATTCAGTATACAGTACTCGCATAGCTGGAATTTGTTCCATATCGTTATCATTGGCTGCGGAAATCGGCATCGCTTACCTTTTTCTCTGTGGTCACCTTTGATTTTTGCCGCCACTCAGGTCGTTTTAGATTTGGTGGAGTTCGGTTGAAGGTTTTCATATTCCATTTCCACCCGTTGTCTTCTTGTGTAAGAGGAATGAAAAAAGTTGAGTTTTTTTTTGGGAGAATCTATTTGGGCTCTTATGGGCTTATCTGTGCTCAGATCCGAAAATCATGTTTCCGATATGTATATATGTCTGGATCTGCGCATTTATGAATGTAGATGTTCATAACTTGTGTGCGTGTGTAGGATTGGTTGGGTTTCTCAGTGTTTGCCATTGAGGTCCTCTTTTCTGGACAAAATATAGGATTGGTAATAACCAATTTTAGCTTGGACATAATGACAACTTCATCTCAAAACTAAAACTACCATAGTGGATTAGTTACTATTTAATATTTCTGGAGGGATCTACTTTTTTCAGGCGATATGATTTTATCTTCAAGCCTTTTTTCCTAGTGTTTCTCTGTATCATGGAGTGGCTGCCTCATATAAAAGTTAACTACCTGATAGGCAGGTCATATATTACTTAATGTCTGCCTAAGCTAAAGTGAACTGAGAAGTGTCAGTATGCGAAACCCTGTCTAAGGTGTAGATAGAATGGAAAGATATGTTTTCTTAAAGTACACTCATTTAGATGAAGTTTTGCGTAAGTCTAGCAGCCAACTGGTTGAACTTCGTTTATCATGTTCTTTTAGTACTCTCCCTTCTAGTCATCATAGTTTTTGAGAACTTACTTTTGGATGCCATGAATCCTTGAATTCAATGTGCAACCTTTGTTTTTCTCTTTTGTTCTGATCACGTAAGGAAGTTCAGTTCTCTTTGCCTATACCCTGCTATTTTCAATTTCTTTTTTAGTTGATGGATGAGCCATCACGTTGATGTTGATTATAAACTTTCCACTATACTTCGAACCATTTCATTTGCAAGATGTTAATGTTTCTAAGATATGCATTTAGAAGAACTGAGGATAATACACCCAATTGTTCATGAGTTCATGTCTAAATAAATCTGGAACAATTACATGTGTCTAGTTCTGTTTGGTAAGATCTCACTTTGTTCACTGGCTGACTCCATTTCTGGAATAATTTTGTACCATTTTTCCATTTCAAACTCTTCTTTTTCTTTACTTAAACTGTTTATACAACAGTGACATTCTTCTTGATGGATCCAAGGAGATATCTTAATCCATGAGTAAATTGGAATGTGATAGTACTTGCACGCTGTAATTTTTGTTTGTATGAGACTGATTGAAACTAATCTTTAGTTTCTGTTTCAATGGTTTTGTTTTTATTGGCACGTAAACTATAACTGCATTTTTGACTTTTCGTACAATTTTCATCACAGTTGCAGTTTTTCATTTTTGTGGAGAATCACCCCAACCATGTGGAGATTCAAACCGTTTGCGCATAAAGAGCAAACTGGTCTGGAAGGACGCGTCATTGACATAGGCAATTTCAAAGTTCAGGTTCGAAACCCCATTGCAGAGGGTGGATTCTCATGTGTTTACCTAGCTCGAGACACTTTACATGGTTCCAAGCAGTATGCATTAAAGCACATCATATGCAATGATGAAGAGTCGCAAGAACTAGTGATGAAGGAGATTTCAGTTATGAAATCGCTTAAAGGGCATCCTAATGTTGTCACACTGCACGCGCATGCTATCTTTGATATGGGTCGCACTAAAGAGGCTCTACTTCTCATGGAATATTGTGAGAAGTCCCTGGTTAATGTTCTGGATACCAGAGGAGGAGCTGGGTTCTTTGAGGAGAAGCAGGTGCTAGCAATTTTTAGAGATGTATGCAATGCTGTCTTTGCAATGCACTGCCAGAAACCGCCAATTGCTCATAGGTAAATGCATTTCATGTCTATTCTTTGAGTGTAAGGATTATTCGAATTGTCGCTAGTGACACCTATAGGTGTCATTTATCTTGTCACATGGCATGCTTTTGTTTGTTTCCATTCGCACATATTTCCAGGCTGAATTAAAGGCTCAAGGCTCATTGAAATGCAACATTAACTTGGTAGCTATCGATGTATTCATACATATAGATTATAGACATTATTGGGTATTGCTTCTGTTGTATGTGCCTGGAGTTTGTTATCATAAAATCTTTTATTCTGTAATAAGGTAGAGATTGAGAAAGTTGATTATTTACTCAAGGAAAGGTAAAGCTCAAGGAATAAAATTAGTGGTGCGATCCCAAATAATGGGATTAGCTGGGATGCTGGCCTTTTGGGAATGGAAGGCTATTAAATGGTTATCGTGCTTTTTCTTTAATATCTTATTACCTTATATGAGTAATATGTTTACGAAAGAGAGTGAGGGAATGACGATTAGGCATTGAGAGAACTGAGGTTGTGGAAGTGGAATCCACAATAGACAAGCCGTTGACTTGATTGACCTGGGAGGTGTCGTTGGCTTCAAGATTGCCTTTGGATGTAAAAAAAATGCTTGAGCAACTCCTTAAGTTTGGTGATGGGCTCCTTGACCGTTGCCATTAGTTAGCGAGCTCTTCCTAACCCTGCTCTATGGCTGCAATTCCATCTTTGTTCTGACAAATTGTTAGGAGCAAAGGAAAGGGTCAATATAAAGAACTAAATATTATTATGCAAGAAAGTAAAGACAAGAACATGAGGTTCTCCTTGGGAAAAAATCTCGGGATCTCCTGCTCAAGCTAAGAGCTGACAAACAATGTTATCTATGAATGCCTAATCTTTTTCCTCACTCACTTTTATAAGCATGTTATTGTTATCTATACAAGGCAATAAGATATAAAGAAAAGCACGATAATGACTCGATAGCCTTTCTTGCTGAAAGGGCCAGGATCCCAGCTAATCCCCCATGATTTAAGCTTCTAATATCGCATCACTAATTTTATTCCATTCCAGCTTTCCCTTTTCTTGAGTAAATAATCCACTTTCTCAGTCTCTATTATAATATCTTGTGCTTTAGTCTGTCTGCAAAAGACTTTTCTTAAAATACACTGATGCTCTGCCCACCCCCAACCAAAGAAAAATGGTCAAAAGATTTTTTTTTTTTTGTTTGTTCCAATAATGTGTGTCTGTGTTTGGATAGTTGTTTCTCTACCGTAAAGCTTGAGTTAATTTTTATTCTCATTTGATTTATTCTGTGTTGGATTATGTAGGGATTTGAAGGCAGAGAATCTTTTGCTGGGGTCTGATGGCTTGTGGAAATTATGTGATTTTGGCAGCACTTCTACTAACCATAAACGCTTTGAGAGACCTGAAGAAATGGGAATTGAGGAAGATAACATAAGGAAACATACGACACCTGCATATAGAGCCCCTGAGGTAGATGGTGGATTTTTTTATCGAGATCTTGCTGTTGCAGTTTTCATGGTATAACTTTTGATTCTTTCTCCCTCGTTCAATGCCTTAGATGTGGGATCTGTTCCGAAGAGATCTTATAAACGAGAAGGTAGATATATGGGTAAGTTGACCGCTTCCTGTATTATTTGGACTGGACCAACCAGAATATTCTGTTAGTATATATATATATATATATATATACACATATATATATATATATGTATATATATATATGTATATATATATATATTTTATGTGAAGTTGGTAAATATTTGATACTGTTTACAGGCGCTCGGGTGTCTCTTATTCCGCATATGTTACTTGAAGTCAGCATTTGATGGTGAATCAAAGCTCCAAATACTAAATGGGAACTACCGAATTCCAGATTTACCCAAATACAATAAATTCCTGACGGACCTTATCCGAGATATGCTTGAGTCGTCCCCTGAAGACAGACCAGATATCACGCAGGCAAGCGTTTTGCTTGATTGGCCATTCATCCCTATGAACTTAGGTTAGTTGTAGAGTTTTTGCGCCCATGGAAATCATGAGGGCTAAATTTGTATATATGCTTATTGATTCGTTTTACCTCTTTCCTTTTGTTGCAGGTGTGGTTTCGTGTTAACGATCTTTTGCCTGATGGGATGCAGAAATCATTACCGGATAGTCCTCCCGAAATGCAGCAACACGGTACTGATGTGCTTGCAGGTGAGGGTTGTTAAATTATTCTCGACTGTAATTTTATTCAAATGAAGATGGTCATACATCTAACTAGCAATTTAAGTACTTAATATCCTAGTACTGTCAAAATGAGCCGTAGTCCGTGGTCAGCCAGATAAAAGAAAATTACACTTGATGTTAAATTTCTGTCCACTTTCATTTAGATTATAATTGCTTGCTACCTGCAGGCACCCAAAAGCCTGCTAACAAGCCTAGTCCAATGCCTCGTAGGAGCCCCCCTCCTCCACCCTCATCCGAAGCACCCCAAAACGTGTCATCAACTTCAAATAATTCGAGAGCAAGTGATAACCTTGGTCCTCTTGGTGCTTTCTGGACAACTCAGCATGCACAAAATTCAGAAACCATGGAGGAGAAAACCAAACCAAAATACGATGAGGAACCACACAAAAATAAATTATCTGGAAATGAGAAGATCCGTCATGATGGGCACACAGTTTCTCATATGCCCGCTCAAAAGGAGCAGAATTTTCAATCTCATGCCCAGAAGAATGCTCAAGGCAGACCGGCCAGCAGGCTAAGTGGTGGCCCAAGCCCAACTAAGGACTTAAATCTGTTTCCAAACAATTCTAATAGTATTATGGAAAGATCAAAACAGCCCAAACCGGAGGTCACTCCAGCCGTTCAACAAAATGATGATTATAATGCTTTTATTTCTGTGTTCAATTCTAATACCGAACAGAGACTTGGAGGAGACCTTCAGAAATCGGATAAGGAAGAAATGTTAGAGGCCGAGGTGGAAAAGCTGAAGGAGCAGCTTGCACATGTGAATGCGGAGAAGGCAGAAATAACCTCCAAATATGAAAAGCTTTCGGCAATTTGTAGGTCACAGAGACAAGAGATACAAGACCTTAAGCTTGCTCTAGCTGCGAGAAATCCATCACCGAATAGGGATTCTTCTTCTAGAAACCTGCCTTCTCCTGGAAGCCACCCATCCACTGGTCAACCGGTATTCTTTTGTCTAATTAGAGTTCTCCTTTCATCTTTTTTCTTGTAAACATATATATCAGATAATAGCCCTGAATTTTAACTGGTTTTCACTAATGAAACAAATACTGATATTCCTCTCATCTCTTGGGTGCAATGCAATCTCTGAAATAGAAACAAATACTGATTTTGATTAGAACCTTTTTCCCAAAAAAATTTTTATGTGACTTGCAAACAATATGCAAGTCGACCTATCATACTTCGTGAACAAGAACTCATGCAAACTATGAAAAGTCATTATTCTTTATATATTTTTTTATTAAAATATGACAATTTTCAATGAATATAGGAGTATTTGTGGAAATAGTATGTCGCCTTGATGGTTAGGCCAGTTTCACAGAATTACTATTTTCTTCTTTTGGCAATTATTACCCTTATGGGCAATTCCTAAATATACCCTTGAGATTGATTCGGTGTTAAAATTGTTGGGCTGATTATAATATTTTTATATACGTAATAAATGTCTTTCATTGATGAAGGGGGAAATCTTAGACAAAAACAGAATGTTGGTGATTATTGTCAATCTGAAAATTACATTGTTTTTTTCAAACTTCAGTGTCTGCTTAACCCTAGTTGTATTTATCCCAATTTTAATTTCTCTAACTTACTCTGATGTTTTTCTACTACATGTAAAGCAAAATGAGAAGATTGAAGAAACTGTATGGGATCTCCAACAGGGTTTCATTAGCCGAGGGTCTCAAAGCCCGGATTCTAAGAAGTGGCAGGCTTTTACTGATAACCCCAAGGCACAAACTTCGCCGTCAAATATTGCTCCAAGATCCGTCAGAACCAAAAACGGTGAGAAGAACAAAAATCAGGTTGTCGAAGGTGGCAATTCTTGGGGATTTGGCACCGACACTTTTAAGGTGGCCTCTGCCGCTAGTTCTAAGATAAATGTCCCTACAGCTGGCGAGTTCAATAATTCTCAGGGTTCTGGTGGCGAATCAAAGAGCACCGAGAGTAACTTTGTGGCACAACCTGCTGGATGGGCCGGTTTCTAAGATTGACCCAAATGGACGACGAGAGCCTTTGAGAAAAAGGACATCTCGTGAAAATACCAACGGTTTGTTTTTTGTTGTTGAGTTTGTTGTGTGTTATATACGAAATGCGGTCATGACAGTATTAACATATGCTTCTTCCATGCCCTGAACTCGCCTTTAGGGAAATTGATGGGTTTTATGTAGATTTTTGATTTACCGACTTTTGTTATGGAGTTGACATTTTATAACTATTCTCTGCTAAATGGAGGCATTGTGAGGCTATAAACTTCATTCTCATAGGTATTTGCATCTGTTTACAACTGTGCTCTGTTTGGTTTGATGCTGATCTTGATTATGGGAGGATGCAACAATCAAATTGATATGATGATGTGTTTTCTTACATGCTCTGGTGTGCGATAATGTATTATACATATGAATGTATTTTATCTGGGACTACCTTTTATGGTAAAAAGCAGTGTTCTAAAAGTCGTTAGGCGCCCGCTAGGCGCTCGACCAGTGCCTAGCGTCTAGAGCGCCTAGTCGGGGCCTAGGCGGCGTCTAGTCGAGGCCCAGAAATCAATAGAGTAAATACTTTATTTTTATTTATTTTAACTACTTACAAAATAAAATTATCTCAACATATAATAAATTCACACACCAAAGTTCAAATAATAATATTAATATATATTAAAGAAAACATGAGAACAAAATAATGTAATTAGTATTTAAAAAAATAAAAAAAAAATTAAAAAAAAAATTAAAAAATTGCCGCCGAGCCCGCTTAGACACCGTCTAACCGCCTGGCCGATTTTTTCTGCCGATTTTTACAAATCGGAGGCGCTCGGGCACCGCCTAGCGCCTAGGCCGATTTTTAGAACAGTGGTAAAAAGGAAGAACTCATGCAGTGGTCTAGTTTATTTATCAGGGCAATGACCACTTATCGTAAGTTATCGTTGTGTTTGCCGTTAGGTCGTTGTTGGTTGGTTTTCATTATAGCATTTGATTAGTTTCCAATGATCAATAAGCACAATAAAAGTGATTCAATAAACCCTTAATGTTTGTTTCATGAAAATATAGCATGATATCAGACCACTATGAAAGTAAATTTAAGGGAAAAATTCACTTTTGGTATTCAAAATATACCACTTCAAAAGCACTTGAAGTTCCTACTTAATAGTTTTGGTCACTAAAGTTTTCAAAATTAGTTGCTTTTGGTTCAAGCACTTAAAAAATAGTTAAAATTGACGGTAACCGCATTTCCCCGCCGTCTCTAATGACGGATTTCAACAAATTATATACCATTTTGAAGCTCTCGACTCGATCTATGTAACAATAACTTTAATTTTTTGGAGAGACGGAAAGAGGAGAAGGAGAGTCTTACCTCAACCCTTACTAGCGCATGGGAGGCCGGTCGGAGTCCGACAAACTAGCCCAACTCGAAAACCGAAGAGAACCACACAGCGACATAGACACCTAACAAATCTGGTGAGCCTCACACCTTGTTAGGCAAGCTATCAGGGACTGGTAGGAATTTTGTGTTGTTTAATTAGTTTTATTTTGTTGGTTTTTGAGGAGTTAATCCAGATCCCTACAATTCTTTAACTTTTCTTTAGTCTTTGTTTATTGGTTTGTTTAGCTGAGGTTTCAGCCTTGTGTTGCCTTTGCTTGCATTGGCCTTTAGACCTCTCGTGTGAGGTCTCTCATTTCGCGCGTGTTTTTAGTTGGTTTTGCCTGTATTTGTATTCCTTTTTATTGTTATGAGCATCCTAAAAAAACACCCATTATATTTTAAATATAATTTAAATAATTCCCCCTATATATTAATTCAAAACGTGTTGAGTCTAAGTGACACGCTCGTCTGCTGCGGGATCATATGTGTCAAAATTACATGCTTCGTTATTAGGCTTGAGTATATTTTAATTTACTTCCACTCCAAAAATAATTAGGTCCGGATTATCCATAAATATGTAGATTATATATGGTCATGTTACATGTATTAATTGCATTTTAATATCATTCTTATTATAATTGTTGAATTGTAAATGTATTTTAAAAATTAATAACTTTTGTATTTGTTGTCAGTTTTACATATATAATATATCAAAATAATCATCTCTATGAACTTCAGTTTGACATCCATATTGTATGTATAAAAAATAAATTATATTTATCTTTATAACAATAATAAAATTATTTTTTAATATTAATTAGAAAAATAAAATTATGTATCAATTAATATATTTATATTTCAAGTAGTTATATGAAATAAGTTATAAAAATTACTATTATATAACATATGTAAGTCGCACAATTAACAAGAGTTAGTCTAAAATATATAATAATATATATTTTTTTGTAAAAAAGTAAATAAAATTCAAAATAATTTTTCTCATTAATTTTAAAATTTAAAAATAATTTTTTAACAAGCACCCGTGTAATACACGGGTGTTAGTACTAGTTCTATTACGAAGGGAAGGGGGAGCTCGACTATTGGATGGGCTAATGTAAAATTATACTCAATCATAGTCAATGAACTCGACTCAAAAGCAACCAATAATAAATCTAATCAGTTTTATTTATATCCAACCTCCCAAAGTCTTTCCATTATCGAATCTCTTCCTGGGAAACCCAATCCCAGTTTCTCCCCCATCTCAAACCTAAATTGATCTTACGAAACGCCATGATTTATGTGGATGGAGTTCCATTTGCTCCTGCCAACTCTTCCCAGGTATTCAACTCTCGACTCTCTCCCATCCCCCCCTTCTTTTTTTCTGTTTTCTGCAGTTCGTGCTTTTATACTTTACTGAGAAGTTGCAAGTTCTTCTCTTCCAGCTTGATATTGGTTCGTGCACAAGGATTATAATCCTATAGATAGGATATTCCTACAAAAAATAATTCCTCTACGGATCGAAATATAGGGGTCCTGCACTTTTGGGTGATTCAAGTCACAAATACTGTATATTTAACCAACAAACTTGTTCATACCTTTAATAAGTGTTTGGTTAACATGTCCTTCTTTCATTAATATCTCGTTCTACATTTCTAGTTTGCTCACTTCCCATTTGGTTATTTTCTCATCTTAGAAGATGAAGAAGTCTTTGCGTCAATCCTTAAGAAATTCATTCTCAATGGTTTTACATGTAAATACTGCAATTTAGTTGGGTTTTTTAGATGCGTTTGGCATTTAGAGAAAGTATTTTTCATCCAAACTTCCATCTCTTTTGGTCTTGTCTTCGGCTGAATGAACAACTTCTGATGGTTGTAATGTCAGCTAGCCTTTGTAAAAGGGGCCTCGCGGCATAATTATGTAATAAGTATTCCCGTCTTTTCATGGATTTTTCTGGCCACAAACGCAGACTTTTTGTAGATTTTGTTGGTTAGGTACCTGCACTCTAAGTTGTTTTCTTATGTCTGGCTCTGGCTACTTAAAATCCAGCATTGTTTCACCAAAAACAGGTCACAGACATTTTGATGGCATTGATGGAGCATCCAGTCCTGGTGACTGCCTCAAACGAGTTTAAATCAATGACAGAGAAGAAGTTGTCGTATTCTGATTCGAAAAATAGTAGATGGGTTTATCTCTTTCAAAGGGAGTTTGCAACAGTTGACCCAAAGTTAGTGGATGTATGTTTTATTATATTTTTTGTTTACTTTTGAAACTCTCACATTTCTGATTGCAAAACATTCCCTTGTATCTAGCTTGCTGGTACTGACGAGGCAACTACTTGTGTTTGCATTGCCATAAGAAACCGCAAAAGTGGAATGTAAGTTCTGACACGGCAAAAACATTCTGAAAGNAAAAACCTGTTATCATGACTGTAAATTTGATTTCGTTCTAGGATATCTGTCGGTCATATGGATTTTCCAGGAATTGTTGATATGGGCCTTAGTCAGATGCTATCTTTGGTTGCCGATCAAGATTGTGATAATCTATTGGAAGTATGAATTTTTTTTTCTCCTGCTACTTATGAAGTCCCATGTGGAATTTTTGTTTCATTTTTTTAAGCGTCACTTTAAGAGTTCATGGTTTTCAGGTACATCTGATGGGTGGGTTTGATGATCGCTTGTCTCTGGTATGGACCTCCTCCCTATACTTATCATTTGTTTTACTTGAGATTTTTTGGGATCGTCTTTAAATTTCTTGGTCAACCGTGAAGAAACCATATCCTGCCATGAAAACTAAAACCAAAATGGAAGGCTATTCGCGGCCATTGTGTGTGAAGATCATCGAGACCCTGCGAAAAAGGAGTGAGAAGTTTCAGATCCAAATTCTCCATGTTCTTGGTCGTAACACCAAATGGGATTCTGAAGGGATTGCAAAACCCATTTTCCATGGAATTGTGGTCAGCTTCAATCTTACACTTAATTGTGTTTTGCATTGATTTGTATATTTCTCAAAATCAGTTTTGGATCTATGAAAATTTGAAAGTAAAAAACTCATTAATTTGGGCACCTCAGGTTGAAACAGCCACTGGCTCAATTTTCCCTGCCAGCTTTGATCGAACTTCAAGATGCCCTGATGAAATTGTGAGGAGAATTCGACTTGCTTCATGTTTTGAGGATCCCAGTTGGGCTGGAAAACTGCTTGATACATATGACACTACAAAGGATTGTTTTGTCATTTCTCCATGTGCTTGGTAAAGATTTTTTACTTAATTTGTTTGTGTTTGGTTGGAATTGAATCGAAGACCTTTGGATTTAATAGTCTATACTGCTCCTCTGGTCTAACAATGATTTCGTAATTTTGAAACTTTTTGCTTCTTTGGCTGGTGTATGCACTCACCTATTTTCCTTGGTGCCAAATTATTTCATGGGGTTTTAATTGGTTGATGAATGCGTTAGAAATCCGGTATTTTGTTAACCCTTTCCATATTGTTCTTTTAGGACCATATGGCAAAAAGAAACGGCACAGTCCCTCAAAAATCTTTCTGATATAGAAATTCTACTCACAAGATCGTCTTCTCCTTCTGCAGAGGGTCCCGATTTCGTGTATAACGAAAGAAGGTAAATAAAACTTGGGTTTTGTCTAAATCCCCCTTATTTTCTTTCGCACAAGAACCTGGTCGAAGTCCTTGTTAGTCCATGTTACGATCGTTTTCCCTATATTTAAGTATAATTGACATTGATCCTTATAAATTCTGTGATATATGCCTATTCATATGTTAAAAATCATACGAACACGTCAACTATAATTTTTATTTATTTTTTTGTTTTTTTCAGGATTGCAGACTACTTGATCGCGCACCCAGATTGGCAAGAAACTTTTCCTGGAAGAAAGCCACGTGTGTTTCAGAGGGCTGCAGATGGAGCCTGGATCACAATGAAGGATTATTGTTCACGTGCACTTAGAGATTAACGTCCTTAAAACAAGGGTACTGATCATGTAGACCCTCCTCCCACTCATGAAGAACTAAATACTGGTTTTCAAATATCCAATTCATACTTGAAGACACATTTATCTTGTCTTCCTTATAGCCAAATATGAAATGGAAGAAGTTATGACCAAGCTCCCTCACTTCTAATGGTTATCCTATTTGCCAAATGATGATCATTGTCCTTTTAATGCGTAGCAAGCTTGTTTACCTTTCACTGACTTTCCCCAACACACTCTGACTGCATTCTTCAATACTCGAACGAACATCTTCTTACATAAGTTCAATTAATTATCTTTGTCTCTGATTTAGACAGCGCAATAGTCTTCAGTCTCATCCCCCTTGAATTTCCCTGAATCACAGAAAGCTCACACCTGCTAGAATTGAACTCTCAACCGAAAGAACTGACATTACATGGGATTGAATTCCAATGCAATTCTGAGAGGTTAAATTTAGCTTGTTCAAACTGTTTTTTTTTTTCATTAAATCATAATAATTTTGATGGATTTTTTATCTTTCACCTAAACTTATCGTACGAATCAATTAAATCTAATAGAAATTCAATTCAAATAAAATATTTATAGAATATTCTCCAATGAAACTCTATTGCAATTTCAATGTAAAGTTATAAGATTTGAGTATTTATTTCATTTACCAATGCCATATTTTTTATATTAAAAGTATTTATTTATTTTAATGTTTAAAACATTTAAAAAATGGTAAAGTAAACTATAAATGGAATTTAATTCACATTAGCAGTCATTTGTGAACATAATTAATTATACTAGTATCGTGGCCCGTGCAAATGCATGGAATAATTTAAAATAAATCAAATAAGGAAACATAAATAGAGTAAATAATTTTTATAGACAATTAAATAGATTACTATATACAATGTTTATATTGTATATTTTATTTCTCATCATAAAATAATATCTTGTGTCTTTTACGTAAAAGTTTATGTAAATGAACAAATAATGAGCTTGACACTCTTTAAATGAAAAGACCATTGCATGCCTTTTAAATTCATAAATGAAGCACCTAATTTCATAGTTCGCGCATAAAGTTTTGCGATTTATCCATGTTTGTCTCATTATATGCAAGATTTGAGAAATAGTATCATTTTTGTTTTTTTTTTTATAAAAATGGCTAACTTATTTGACTGGGACGTTTATTGAATTTTTTGGGCATTATTTCTTAAAAACACATTATATGTGATTTTGTTGATATAATAAATAATTTATGTAATAGATAGACTATATCTTTTTTTTCTTTAACAAATTACAAATCAATAGATCTTATTTGAGGCTGAATTTTTTCTATATGGTATATAATTTTCAATATTATAGCGATAATAATGGTTAACTTCTCTCTCTCTCTCTTTTTTTTTTGTCCTTAAAAACTTTGCACATATGTTCTCTCTCTCTCTCCCTCTCTCTTTGAAATTCATGGATTTTCTCTCAAAATTTTGTTGCCACTTAAACAATAAATTCCTTCTCTTTACTTCTTCATTATGTTATATGTTATGTGCCAAAACCATTATATGGTGTAATTGATTTATTTTTCTCAATATTATGTTATGTTATCACGTTAACATCATTATCATAGAAATTAAATATTGAGGTTTTAAATATTAGCAGTTGTATCATGTGAACATAAACGCAAACTCAATTTGCTAGTTTATCTAAATCGTGGTGGTTGTGGAACTCCAACTTCTCCACGATTTCACCGGTACTAATTCACTTATCTTAAAACTGAAAATATATTTATACACTATTGATATCTAGAACAATCTTTTATCAAATTTTTGTTATGCTTTAATTCGTTTTTTTTATCCTATTAGAATTCTAAACATTTTTTTTACTGGTATTAAGACCAATCTCAAGTTATTTTTTTATTAAAAAAATATTATTTTTTAGAAGAAAAAATCCCTTCTAATAGCTTGTGTGGTTTTATAATTTATATCGTAATTTTACTTATTAATATTATTTTCTATACATGTAATTACAATTTCTTTATTTGTAAACCATTCTTTTATGTAAATAAGTACCATATTATTATCTGGTACCTTCATATTTTTAGGAAGTCTTTAAAAATAAATTATTATTTAATACACATCACAAATAATTCACCGTGATTCAACATGTTATTTACATGTAAAAAGAAAATTACTTTGATATTTATGAGAAATCAAAATAGAAAATACATTTTAAACTGCCTATCTATAAATGACAACAAATTTGGGTCCACTTTAACTATTAAACTATTTTTAAAAATGAAAAAAAATTAATTACGCAAGGTGAACATTGAACACGTTTAAGACAATAATAAAAAAAGATTGAAACTAACTTTCTAGAAATCTATCTACTATATAATTAGGCAACACACTTGCCATTTTTAGAAAGTTTATGTGGGTCCTACAACACTTTTACTATTTTTGGAAAATCCTCACATTCTTTAACACGTGTTCATATTTATATTAATATTAATTGTCTCACCTAATATTTATTTAGTTTACCGATAACTAACAAAGACCCACTATTTAATGATTTGACACGTGTTCATCAGTTGTGACTCATTTTTTTAATACAAACAATTAAAATTACGGGACGTTTGTACTTGACAGATATTTTTATAAAATTTTATTTTATTTTTTATTAAATATTTTAGTTAAAATTATTTATCTAATTTTCATAATTCATACTTTACAAATTAAAATAATTATAAGTATTCGTATGCTTAGTTTTTTAATTTTTTTATCTTAAATTTTATACATAAAAATTAAATCTAATAGTAGTGAAATTAGATATAAAATATTTTAAAGACATGCGCAATGAATAACACACAAACATTCTTCATAATAAATAAATAAATAACAACATGTTTTTAGAATATTTTTTATTTCATTTTCTACAACATACAAATTAAATCTAATAATAGTGAAATTAGATAAAAAAATATTTTAAAAACATGCGCGATGAATCACACAAAGATTCTTCATAATAAATAAATAACATCTTGTTTGTAGAATATCTTTTTGATTCATTTTCTACAAGTTAAAAAATCCAAGATATATGATCATGATTAAATTAATCGATTAAACAAATAGTATTATATATATATATATATATATATACATGCAATAATAAATATTAAATTACATAGAGTTAATTGCCACAAAAACCATAACCTTTGCTTAAATTGCATATTAAACTCAACCTTTTTAATTTTGCACAAAAAATATAAACCTTTTTAAATTTTTGCAATCCTGTCTCAATGTTGACTTCCGGCAATGGGCCGCTGACGTAGCGGATCGGAAAAATGACAGGGCAATCCAACTAAATATCTTGTGCCACGTCAGAAATCTGAGAAAAAAAAGAAAAGAAGAGAGCGAACGAGCTTTCTTCTCCATTCATTCCACAGGCGGCGATTTACCTCCATTGAGAATAATCAAGCGATTCACCTCAAAATTTTGCTGCGAATTATTGGCTTGATTCACCCCAAATAATCGAGTTCTTCTCGAATTTCCAATCCAGAAACCCTAGCAGGTACTTTTCTCGAATTTCTCGAATTCATGGTGAAAATTTTACAACCAAAGGTTCACAAAAATTCATATCATTCTAGAGCTCATTGAAATTATTACAATGATTCACTAAATTACATAAGGAACACCAAAAAGTAATAGAAAGGGGAGAAAATTGTGGACACAAAAATCGAAGCCCAAAAATTGTCAATAAATTTTTTTAAAACTGATCATCCTAATCGGTGAGCAATTACAAACATAATAAAAAAGAACAATAATTAGAAAGAGCAGGGCGGCTGTTACCTGTTCGAAGAGGCGAGAGAGACGACGACTGGGGTTTGCTGTGCAGAGGGTAACGTAAAGAGTGGTTTTCTTTTTTTCCTCTCTTTTCCCCTTTTTGGATATTGAGTGGTTTGACGTGGCACAAGATATTGAGTTGGATTGCCCCGTCATTTTTCCGATCAGCCATGTCAGCGATCCATTGCGAAAAGTCAACATTGAGACAAGATTGCAAAAATTTAAAAAGGTTTGTATTTTTTATGAAAAATTGAAAAGGTTGAGTTTAATATGCAATTTAAGCAAATGTTATGGTTTTGTTGGCAATTAACCCAATTACATAATATAAAGAGTATTTCGTAAATACTTTTGTATTTATTAGTAATATCGCGATAACATAAAAACATGACTTAAATGTTAAATGATAGGTAGTTTATTTATTTATTTTAGGCTTATAAATTTATGTTCATAAAATATTTTATTTTTTAATAACGCAAATCAGTCAAACATACTTAACAACACTAAAAAAAGTCCAAAATAAAATACGGTCATAAGATTTTTATTTTAAAAAAAAAATATTAACACTATAACATGTCTAACATGTGGAAGTTAAAAATACACCCCTAAAACCATGAAAGTTAGTTTAGAAGTTACTACATGTTTGTAAGTTTTGTTAGACATTAAAAATACACCATAAAACCATAAAATTCAGTTTGAAAGTTAAAGTCAGATAGAAGTTAACACACGTGTAAGTCAGTTTGCAAGTTAAAATCATCTAGAAGTTAAGACACGTTTGTAAGTTACATTGTTAGTGGCTTGAATCGCACTTTGTGATGCAATATTATGAAAGACTGCTTGAGTTGATATTGAGGTGATTCTTTTTTTTATAAATTTCGTTATTATGCATATGCTATTTAATTTTGTTTCCTAATATTTGTGTTTTTAACGTTTTACAGGCCTCAATAAAAAAAGATTCATGTAGATTTGTTCAAACGTTTCATGTGGAGTCATGGGTATCCACACTTTATTGTAGCACCGGCGACAAATATAAATAAAAATTTCCATAAGTTTATGTATAACTTCAAAAATTTTACCGATTTGGCTAAAGGCTCCTTTTGTAAGGACTCTTGATCCGTAATTATATCTTATGCATATCAAAAACAAAATATATATATTTTAGTTATTGAGGATTAAATTATATGAATGTTATACATGAAGAACTCTGTACCAACTTTACGTTACTGTTTCACGAGTTACAAATGGGAAATGATTGAAAATATTAATTTGTGATGATAAAAACAACTCAGAACTTTACATCGCTTTTTTCAGAGTTACAAATGTGAAAAGATTGAAAATATTAATTTGTGATGATAAAAACAACTCAAAGACGAAGAACGTTGTTCTAAATTTATATGAATTGCAATTGCTCTTTTAATTTTTTTATTTTTTTTGTAGCTCCCGTATATTTGCACGGGCAACTGTACTAGTAGTAATATGATGAGGGACCCATTAAAACACTTACTATTTTTAGCAATTGTGTTGCCTAATTATATATAGATATTATGATTTATGATCCTAATGGAAATCTATGGCATCTAAATATTTTACTGTACCAAATTAATTCAATATATAGGAAAAAAAAAAACCTAAAAATAACATAGGAA